TCATGGTGGTAGTTGTGGCAGAAGAAAGCACTTGAGGGATGTCACCAGAAATTATATATAGAGAGAGAGCTCAGCTCGAAAAATATGTTCCACTTAAGGAACACACCCAATGATCCAGTAATCCCTATTAGGGGATTAATGCACTAATTAAGTTAAAGCTCTCATAACTCAATCATTTTACCTCTAAACATTCTTGCATTATTTCATACATGAGCTTTTGTCTAAATCATAATGGAGTGTAACATATTCTTAAAAATAAAAGAAATTAGTTAATTATTTCCCACTGTATCTATTGAAGTTACTTGAATATTACATTTCTTACTAGTGACACCCTGATAAATTGACAGGTTTATAGTCAGAGATCCTGAGTTAATAAGGGCTGTGGAAATAAAACAGTGGACACAAACTCCATATTTATGACCAATTTTGGGTATCTGGCATGAATAACAATTGTATGATTTTACAGAAAAATTTCAGAGCTATAAAAACCCCGGGACTCCATCTTGCCATAGATATGTCGACTTTCTATATCCTTCTGTCCTTTATTATCATATTTTGAATCCCACAAAAAGGCATGTATGTCTCCTCTCACCAAGAAAACACAAAGTCAAACTAAAACATTCAGAAGAACTCTTTTTAAAAAACTATCTAAAAAGTCATTTTCTATTTATAAAGCAAGACACCACATGATTTTGAGAAACTGGTAGAATAAAAGAGAAGTTTCAAATAGCCATTAATGTTGTAAATCAACATCATTGAATTGAACACTAGTTCTAATAATGGTTCATGAGTAAGAGTATAAAATATCAACAAAATGTTTGTCTTACATTGGAAATATTTGCATGGTCATAACTGTTAGGAGACAATTCTCTATGGATCTTATATTTCTGTATATCTTAAGAAGCATTGATTTCTAATTTAATATAAACTATCCTTTCAAATACATATGTATTTTAGGCAGTCTTGGCAGTTGAAGAAGTCTCTCCCTAGTTCAGATTTCATTACATTGAAGGGTAACAGCAAGTAACATCTTATCTGGAAAGAAAGATGGACAGCCAGAACTGGAGATCTGAGGGCCAGTGTAATGATGTTCTAATACATTTGTTGCTATAATAAACACTTTTTTTTTCCTGACCCAAGAGTCCTATGTTGTCATGGGGAGTCACTCCAGAAAGCCCTCTAAGTCCAAATTTCAAATCAAAAGAGGGCTTTGTTTACCTGGCCAGGGACTGTCACCCACCACAGAGACTCAAGATCCATCCAAAGAGAATATAAACACAAAAATCACAACTCACTGACTTGCTTATTGCCATGTAGCTAGCCAATCATAGAAACTAAAAATTAATAAGTGGGACCTGTGGGCTCTAGGCAGGACTGGAATTTTCCAGTCAGCAAGCAAGTGATAAACAGAAGCTTAAAAAGCATTAGCTTTTCAGTTCAGTTGACCACAGTCCTGGGTTCAAGTAGGTGCTAGTCGCATCCTGAATTTGGGCGGGGGTTGGCAGGGAGAGAATCTACTTCAAAGTCATGTAGACCCACAAGGGAATTAAAACCCACGATGTAGCTCACCATGACCACTGCTGCATCCTGGGTAGGGTACAATTTTGGGGGTACAAAGTCCAGAAAGACAATTTTTTTTAAAATATGAAAATAGCTTTCATTTCAGTTTCTCAGAAACAGCTCTTATAACAGTTTTTTTTTTATAGAAGGCAGCAAAATGGTGTCTTAGACCTGTCTATGACAGTTTTTGTTTTATAATTGTCTTATCTCACTTATCAAAACCTTATATCTATAATCTATATTTTCTACTAATCTATAACCTATAACTTACACTCTTATTGATTGTATTTATAAGTTTACACCACAATAATGTCTCTTCTAGAATCTCTAAAAAAATCATCAGGCTAATTTTCTAGCTTGCAAATAGGGTAAAATATCAAACCTTTTGCAATTCCTGATAATAGCAATGCAATTGCTTTTCATATAGTCAACATTTAGAAAAATATGTTGAACTTAATATCAGCACACTGCAGTGACACAGTCACATCAATATTTATAGCAGCTCATTTCACAAGAACTAAGCTCAGGAACCAACCTAGGTGCCCTTCAACAGATGAATGGATAAAGAAAATGTGGTATATATGCACAATGGAATATTACTCAGTCATAAAGAAGAATGAAATTATGGCAATTGCCAGTAAATGGATGGAACTGAATAATATTATATTAAGTGAAATAAGCCAATTCCAAAAAACCAAAGGCTGAGTATTATCTCTGATATGTGGATGCTAACACATAATAAAGGAGGAGGGAAAGAATCGAAGTTCATTAGATTAGAAAAAGAAGAATGAAGGGAAGAGATGGAGAATGGCAATAGGAAAGATAATAGAATAAATCAAATATAATTTCTATTTTAATATAGGAATAAATGACTAATGAAACCTCACATTATGCTCAACCACAAGAATGTGATCCAAATTAGAATGTTATACTCCATGTACGTATGTCAAAATTTTACTGCCATGTGTATCTAAAATGAACAATTAAAAAATTGAAAAAAACAGCACTAGATACAGAAAATACTGAAATATGTTTAACAAAGTATGTGTAATACGTGTACACTGGAAACCATAAATTAATACTGACAAAAATTAAAGTTGCAATAAAATGGAGAGATATTTTATAGTCAAAAGACTATAATGGTTTCAAGAGGCTTATTTTCTCCCAAATAACCCACAATTAATTAAATTCCAATCAAATTTTAGCAGGATCTCCTTTTAGAAACTGATAAATTGATTTAAAAAAGAATATATGCAATTGCAAAAACCTAAAATAATAAGAAAATTTGTGAAAAAGAACTTTCATGGAGCAGTTACACCTCATCATCTCAAGATTTGTTCTAAAGCTCAACAATCAAAACTGTTGTTCAGATCTGAGTATAAACCCATTTATCAGAGGAAATGAATAGTTTAGAAGAGAAACACATCATATGATGAGTTGAATAACAAAGGTATCGAGGTAATTCATTAAGGAGAAAATTCTCTTTCCAAATAGAGTTCAGGAACAACATATACAAGGAAGATAAATATAGATCTTTGCCTAACACTATATACAACCTTTAACTTAAAATAGCACATAGAACTAAAGATAGAAACTTAAGCTATAAAAATTCTAAAAGGAAATAGGAGAAAATATTCATGAACTCAAGCTAGACAATTCTTGCGTATGACACAATCACTTATCATAAAACTTGGATAATTCAAATTTCATCAAGATAACCTCCCAAACAAAGCAACAAGAGCACCAACAAAAACAATAACAACAATTTATTTTTGTTCTTCCAAATACAAATTCAAGAAAATGAAAAGACCAATTAGACTGAGAGAGAATATTCTTTTTCTCTACACACATACATTCAGAGGACATCTGTCCAAGAAAGGAAAACAAAACAAAACAAAACAAAACAAAAAACCCTTACAACAACCAGAAGCAAACAAATATTAAATAGAAAAAAGAAGCTATTAAAAAAGTTTTTGAAACATAGGAAACAAAGTGTTCATGTTTACTAGTTATCAAGGACATTAAAACTACCAAGACATTTCACACACCCATACACATTGCTAAAATTAAAGTCTGAAAATACGAAGTACCTTCAAGTAACAGATGAAATTTTCATAAACAAATGATTTGCCAGTTTCTTAAACATTTAACATATCCCTAATATATAACCATTATGAGTTAAATAATTCCCCTCCAAAACTTATGTGTTGAAGTCTTAAGTCCTATACCTCAGAATGTGACATTTTTGGATTTATGGTTGCTGCAGACGTAATTAGGTAAGTGAAGATGAAGTGATACTAGAATCATACAGGCCTCTACTCTAACATGACTGGAGTCTCTCTGAAAATGAGAACTATGGACACAGAGACATACAGGAAGAACACTTCTTGAAGCTGAAGGGAGACATCCAAGTGAAGCTTCTACAAGCTAAGGATTGCTGGCAAAGTACTAGAACCTGGGGAAGGAGCATAGAACATATTTCCCCTCACAGCCTTCAGAAAGAACCAACTCTGGTGATTTGGAACTGTAGCTTTAAGAACAACAGTTTTACCATATAATTTGTGGTAGTGTGTTGCAGTCGTCCTAGCAAAATAATAGACTTCCATCAAGTATCTGCACAGGAGAAATGAAAGTATAAGTTCAACCAAGAACTGTACAAGGTCATTTGTTTCAGATTTATTCATAATAGGCTCTGACTGGAAACAACATGAATGTCCATCAGCAGGTTAATAGATAAATATATGAATTTTGGCATGTTTATATAGTGAGAAATCTATGTGGTAATAGAAAGAACAAACTGCTGATGTATACATAAATGAATAAATTAAAATGACAAAATTATGCTGAATGAAATAATTCAAATCCCAAAAGTTCCTTCTATAATTAGTCCATTTGTTTGAAATTTTAGAAAATGGAATACTAAACTATAGAATCAGAAATCTGATTAGTCTTTTCCAGGAAAAGAGGCTGAGACACTGATTCCAGGGGCAGTTTGGCCTTTTTCCTGATGATGAGCTATATATTTTGTTTGTGGTGAGGCTTATGATTGTTATAACTCTTTGAGCACTATACTGAAAATGGGCATTTTTAATTCTGAAATCATACCTTGCTAAATTCGATTTAAAAAACAAAGTATGAGAAAAAAGGTATTTAACAGGAAGACAATATGTTTGAAAACACCAGCATTAGCTTTTATTGTTGCAATTCTTCATGTTTATATTGTTCATTTTTCTTAGAGAACATAAAAATATATCTAGCTTTCCAAAGTCATTTTGTGATAGACAAACTCAGTATAGAATTTTATAATTCTACCAAAGCTGTACACAGATGCCGCATCCGGCCAAAGGAGCCGAGTCCGGCGAGGGACGGCGAGGTTTAAAAGACACAGGACACCAGGGTTCTTCATCCAGGAGAGAGAGATTTTATTTTCCCCCCCTTTATATATCCTCCCACACTCAGGGTTAAGCACACACACACACACTCTATTCTGCAGGAAGCGGTCTCGGGCAGCCTTAAGCAAACTAGGTCAGGTTTTGCAGGTCGGTCATGCAAGGCCCAGCTGGGCCAACTAATCAGCAAGTACAATCTGTCCCAGGCTCTCATGAGGGCAGATAAACAGGAAGCCCACAAGGCTGACAGGAAGCCCACAAGGCTGATTCACGCTTCAGTGGTACGCGCCTCCACATGTGGAACAAGGAACAGGAAACTTATTCCTGTTCCAGGGCCAGGGGCTTCACCACAAGTCCCCCTTTTTTTGTTTTTCGCAAAGTGGAGGCGGAATCAAGTGGCCCCTGTCTTAGGTCGTCTACTGCCCTCATGTCACTTACCCGTCTCTGGGGAGGCCCCGTTCCCCTGTCTTAGGTTGTGACATGAGCGTAGAAGTTGCCCGTCTCTGGGTACCACAAGATAAACACACTGAAGGAGCCACTCCATGGGAACCAATCACATTTTCAAATGAGCAAGCCAGACCTGTGGAGAATCACCCTGTTCTAGAGCTGCAAGAGCCTGTACAATCATTGCCTTTTCTTGCGTATGGCGAGCTTTAAGGCGACAGAGGAGCCACAAACAAAGTACAACACCGAAGCAACACATTGTCCCAAAAATGCCCACTCCCACCCATTCCTTGAAAAAGGAAAAGGCAGAGGACAGCCAACTGGTGAGTTGACCCAGAGTCACTGGTTGGACACGGGTGCTATTTAAAACAGCAATCTGAGTCACTTGAGACTGGATCAAGTTTTTTGCTTCCAAGGACCAGGTTTCGGATAGATATTCTCCGATGATGCGAGAAGCATTCCTGGAATCATTAAATCTGACAGAGGTTATGCATAAATGTGCACGTTGATCAATACAACCCAAATGTACCAGATCAGACAATTCCTCAACTTGAGCTTGAAGCAGATCTATCCTTTGATTAGCAGCCAAAATCCCAGATAAAATATGTTGATTGACTTTACTTTGAGATTCAAGTACAGTGGATGTTTGTTGAATAACTTGATTAATAGTGGCAGCAGTTTGTACTTGGCTGGCCATGGCTACTCCAGCTGTAACAGCTGCGGCTGCGGAAACTGCAACAGCGGTAACCATAGCCGCCGTAATTCCAAAATCTCTACGCTGTCTTAGCAGCTTGACAAGAGGAAAATGGTCAGAATTGGCAGTAACAGGAATCGGCACAAAGGTTGGAATTTTCATCACTACTGCCACGGACCAAGAGGCATTCCAACATTTGGCCAAATAACAGGTGACATTAGAACAGTCTAGAAAATCTTTGGTGGAGTCATTAGCCAGTAGAAACAGGAAAGGGGACTGGAGGTAAACTGGGGCAGGAGGCAAAGAGGCATTAGTAAATAAGGAGTTATAAGAACGAGGTGTGAAGCGCCTCCGGCCATTGGGAGTCCCAGCGACGGACCCAGAAACATTATGAAGCCAGTCCCGAGTTCCCCGTAATTGCGCCACTGCGGAAATATCCGCCGTGGCCCCCCGTGCATTTGCCACAAGCCACTGAAACCAGGCCCAGCCATCCCCAACCGAAGAGTTACCACCAGAGGCGTTAAGAACGAACCTCTTTAGCGAGGGGGAAAAGGAGAATCCATCAGTGATCTGACGCTGGCTCCAAGAGGAGCCCTGACAGGGCATAGACTGGAGGGAATTCTTTATTAGGAGTACACAAGGGAGAGGCTCGGAAACGGGTAGCGTTAGAAGTTCTGTTTTTTGGTGTCATGGGTACTACCACTTCCGAAGTTGTCATTAGGGTAGTAATATTTAGTGTCCCATTAGAAATGCCACCCGAGCCACTTTGTTGTCCTTGGCTTACTTGAGTGAGCGCAGCTAAAAGCATGCCATCTGACACCTTGCTTTCCTGCATGGGATTTTCCCAAACAGTCACATTTTTAACGCGGAGAGAAATGAAGCTGTGGTTGGTCATAGTAAAACAAAAAACTCCCTTGAGGGACACACGGGACCCATTAAAAGGAGTAATGGGATCTCCCTGGGGTGTAAGACAAGGTGCATTCAGGTCACATGAAGTGGAGAAAAGAGTAGGGAGAAAACTAGAATTAGCATGCACTGGCAGTGGCATAGGCCAAGCTCGGGCTACCGCCCACCATTGCCCCTCCTCACCCTTTATCGTTGTCAGAGGGAACAACGAAACCAGGAGCCATCCCGGGAGAATCATTTTGAAAGTCGACCACCTCTTCCCTTTCTTGCATGGGTTTAACACAACGCTCTGGGACCCAGATGGGCTTGTCAGTTCCTGGAGGAAAAACACACACGGCCCCTCTTACCCTTGCCAGGAGCGGAGCCGGTGGCTGCCACTGCCCTGTGGCGAGATCCTTCCACTTCACCTGTGCCTGCTGTAAATCAGGGGAAGAAAAATGGCGTTGTGCCGCCGAGCGGCCTTTAGAGTCGACGAGCAAAAAATTTAAAGTGAATAAAGTTATACTTAGAAGTGCTTGTGGTCCCTGACAGCTCCGGTATATCTCCCCCTCTTTTGTTTTTTGTAAATAAGTTTTTAAATGTTGATGGGCTCGTTCCACGATAGCCTGTCCCTGTGGATTATAAAGGATTCCAGTTTTATGATTAATTTCCCATTGGGTGCAAAACCGTTGAACCGCCTGGCTCACATATGCCGGTCCATTGTCAGTTTTAAGGCACCGTGGGGTGCCCATGTGAGAAAAGGCTTTGAGAAGATGACTGATCACATCTTTAGCCTTTTCTCCAGCATGTAAGGTGGCAAAAATAAAGCCAGAATATGTGTCAGTAGAAACATGTATAAAGGAGAGCTTTCCAAAACTAGGGAAATGTGTAACATCAGTTTGCCAGATATCATTAGGTTGTAAGCCCCTTGGATTGACCTCAAGGGAAGGAGAATGGACAAATGGTGTACAGGTTGGACATAATGAGACAATTTGTAGAGCCTGGTCTCGTGAACATCCCGTATGGAAGCACAAAGACTGGGCATTTAAGTGAAATTTGTTATGGAATTGTAAAGCCTTATCATATTTAGTTGTTACACAGGAAAGGCCGACAGCATGAGTAGCAGCGTCTGCCTTTGCATTGCCTTCTGACAAAGGTCCAGGGAGCCCCGAATGACTTCGGATGTGGCCAATGTATAGAGGGTCTCGCCTGGCCCAAATGAGAAGCTGAACTACCTGTAGTTGTTCTGTGATGGTGGATTGTTTTCCAATATATGATGTTGTTTCTATGACTAGAGCCAGATTGGCTACATACAAGCTGTCAGTATATACATTAAGAGGAATAGAACTATAGACTTTGAGAGCTATGATTAAAGCTTCAACTTTCGCCTTTTGGGCCGACTGACCTGACACAGGTTGTCGGAGAATTTGAGATCCATCAAAAACGACGGCAAATCCATTTTTGGCCCCATCCGTATATACAGTTTGGGCCTTTGGAATAGGTTCCATTTTTATAATTTTTGGGAAAATAATGGGACACCTTTTAAAGCCCTCCAAAAGTCTATGTTTAGGGAAGTGATTATCAATCTGACCCTTGAAGCTGCACAGGAAAAGACACCAAAGGTCATGTTCTTGTTGTAACTTATGTATCATGTCTTTAGTGTAAGGTTGAATAAGTATGTCAAAGGTTTTTCCAAACAATGCATCACCCAAATATTTAGCCTTCCAAATTAAGTTAATAACTAACTCATAAAAGGGAGTCAACACCCGGGGGTTAGAAGCCGGCAAGTGGACCCAATAAATGGGACCCGTTTGCCAGAACACTCCTGTGGGAGTAATTTTGGAAGGTAGAACTATAAATGACAAGGGCAGAGAATAATCTATCTGCGTGATCTGCATGTCCTGCAGAGCCTCTTCTATTAGCCTCAATGCTCTTAAGGCTTCTGGTGTAGGTACTCTACACGACTTAGGAGAAGGATCTCCTCGCAAGAGGTCATACAGGGGCTTGAGCTCTCCAGTTGGAATATGAAAGGACGGGCGCAGCCACTGTATTTCTCCGAGGAATGCCTGCCACTGATGCAAGGTTTTGAGCTGATTCATCTGGAACTGGGGTTTCTGGGGAAAGATTCCTATGTTATTAATAATATATCCCAAATAATTGTAAGGGTGTTGAAATTGTACCTTTTCGGGTGCTATGACCAGCCCCGCCCCTTTTAGAAGGGATTGGAGGACTTCATAAGATTGAAGAAGCCTTTCTTTTTTGGGCCCTGCCAGTAAGATGTCATCCATATAATGAATGAGGTAGAGCTGTGGGAACTGCTGTCTAAAGGGCCGTAAAACTTTAGCTACAAAATACTGACACATTGTAGGACTATTAGCCATCCCTTGGGGTAGAACGGTCCATTCATACCGTTGGTAAGGTTCCCTAAAGTTTGTGGAGGGCAAAGAAAGAGCGAAACGCTTTCGGTCTCTTGGGTCCAAGGGGATAGAGAAGAAACAATCTTTTAAATCTATGACAATAAGATGCCAATCCTTTGGGATCGCAGTGGGAAAAGGTAGCCCTGGTTGTAAGGGTCCCATGGGTTGCATAGTTTTATTGATAGCCTGTAGGTCCTGAAGAAGTCTCCGTTTCCTAGACCCCTTTTGTATGACAAAAATAGGGGTATTCCAAGGGGAAGTAGAGGGCACCACATGTCCTAACTTAAGCTGGTCTTGAACTAATAGGGAAGCGGCCTGTAATTTGTCCTTAGTTAGGGGCCACTGCTCCATCCACACAGGTCATCTGATAACCAAGTAATGGACAGTGGAGGTGGCCGCACTTCAGTGGCCCCTAGGATAAATTTCCCAGTCCTCTCCGGTCTCTTCCCTGACGAGTAACCTGTTCTGTTGGATCCAGGGGTGATATTTTGTCCTCGAGTCTCTTTCCCAGTCCCCTTCCAGGGATCCAGCCCATGTCCAACATTGTATCATTAACAAAGTTATTATTTCCTTTCAGGGTCTGGGTAGTGAGAATAGCCCCCATTTGATGAAGTAGGTCCCTCCCCCAAAGATTTGTGGGGAGGCCAGTCACTACATAGGGCTGGAAATGGCCGCTACGTCCTTTGCCATCTCTCCATTTTAGAAAGGAAGCACTTCTTTTTGGTCGGGTCTGTCCTATTCCCTGTAGAACAGCTGAGGAACTCTGGAGGGGCCAGGCACGTGGCCATTGCTTTTCAGAAATGACAGAGACATCCACCCCCGTATCTAGTATTCCCTTGAAAGCCTTGTCCTGTATCTCAATGGTCAGGTTGGGACGCGAATCCAAATGAGCTACCCAAAAGGCCTGAGGAGTTCCAGTGGAGCCAAAGTTGCCGTCACCCCGGGACCCACAAAGGGTGCGCCCAGGAATGGAAGCTAAGGGCAACAGCAGCAATTGAGCTATACGCTCCCCGGGGGGAAGAATAACAATTCCTTGGGTAGCTTCTACTACTATTTTTATCTCTCCCTGATAATCAGCATCAATAACTCCCATAAGAATCCTCAAGCCCCACTGAGTTGCATTACCTCGTCCCAACACTAATCCCACTGTCCCCTCTGGCAGGGGTCCAAAAACCCCAGTAGGCAGCGTCTGAGGTCCCATTTGGGGAGTTAATACCTCTCGGGAGGTGGAACTGAGGTCCAGTCCTGCGCTTCCTGGCGTTCCCCTGGGGAGTTCCCAGATAGAAAGGGGTTGGTCAGTGGGAGGCGGCGGAGACGCCCACTCCCTGGGGCACTGTTCTGTCCCTGCACTGCCCCGTACACTTTGGCTTCCGGGGCCCGGGGCGGGCCCCTGTTCCCGTTTCCTGACGGTATCGGGTTACCCTGGATGTCAAATTTTGACCTGCACTCACTGCTCCAATGATTTCCCTTATGACATCTAGGAAAAATTCCAGGCATCCCTCTACCAGCACCCTCGCTCCTTTCTGGGCAGTTTTTCCTTATATGTCCCTCTTTCCCACACTTAAAACACCCCTTAGAGCGGGTTCCCCTGTAATCAGATTTTTGCATTCCAGTCTTAAGGGCAGCAGCCAAAACCTGACCAGTGATATGAGGCCCATCTATATCTTTGCATGCTTGAATCATGTCATCTATACTTTTGGCCCGGGAGGACTTAACAGCATTTTGGCAGTAAGTATTAGCATTTTCATATGCCAGTTGTCTAATCAGAGGCATAGCCTTTTCCAGATTAGGGAATATTTTTCCAGCAGCCTGCATTAGGCGGGCTATAAAATCCGAATAAGGTTCAGAGGGCCCTTGAGAGATTTTGGAAATTTTTGTTTCAGTCTTAGAAACGGGCAGAGCTTTCCAGGCATGGACCGCAGCTGAGGCTATCTGCGCATAAACACCTGGATCATAATTAATCTGTTGCCCTATGGTGGCATACTGCCCACTTCCTGTTAACATTTCAACATTGCGCCTTTGATGGCCCGCATTTAGGTTAATCTGAGCCAGCTCGCGGCACCTCTCATGATACTCACTTTTCCACAGTAAGAAATCCCCTCCAGATAAAACAGCCCTGCAAAGTTGCTGCCAATCACTGGGTATCAGTTGACTGGCTGAGAAAGACTCGAAGAGGGTCAATGTGAAAGGGGCGTGAGGTCCATAATTAATGACCGCCTCCTTGAGTTGTTTTATGTCCTTGAAGGCTAGGGGGACATGGGCTCTGGCCGGCTGTCCATCAGCATCGGCATTCTCAATCATTGGAAAAA